ATCCAACTTCAGAGAACGAGGACAGGGAAACCGAACAGAACTAAAGACAGCACAGCAAGAGCCAAATTAGGAAAACAAACTGCGATGAAAGAGCAATCAAGCATGGTGCCTGAGATCTTGGGAAAGAACCAAGCAGATAATTCTAAACAAAGAGCTCCATCAGTCGCCTGTTTACAGACTAGCTCACACGGCAAAATAACCTGAGCCTGAAGACAGACCTTAAAACATCTCAGGCAGAAAAGAAAAGGAAGGAAGGAGCTGGAGAAATGGCTCAGTAGTTAAGAGCACTGGCTGTTCCTCCAGAGGACCAGGGTTCAGTTCCCAGCACCCACATGGCAGCTCACACCTGTCTGTAACTCCAGCTCCAGAGTACCCAACACCCTCACACAGACATACATGCAGACAAAGCACCAATGATCGCAATATAAAAATAAAAGAAAATTTAAAAGAAGGGGAGAGAAAAGAAAATAGTGTCTCTGAGACATTCTTTGTTGTTGTTTGTTTTGTTTTGTTTTGTTTTTGAGACCTAGTTTATCTATAACTTTGGAGCCTGTCCTGGAACTAGCTCCTGTAGACCAGGCTGGCCTTGAACTCACAAGAGATCTGCCTGCCTCTGCCTCCCAAGTGCTGGAATTAAAGGCACGTGTCACCACCGCTTGACTCTCTGAGACATTCTTAAAGAATAAGTACATTTGGCCACCAGAAGCCTAAGAAATAGAGACAAGTATTAAAAACAAAGAAGCAAGCAAAACCTATTAAATAATGGGTTGGAAATAGTTAGAAAATGCCTCAATCTCAAAGATAGACATGCACGTATAGAAGACATGTGGATCCTAAAGTAGAATGGTCAGAGTTGACCCTCCTGCGGCATATTTAGTCACACTGTGAAAAATACAAGGTAATTCCAGCTCTGGGGGACTAGATATGGGCTTCTGAGCTCCTCAGATGCCTGCATGCACGCACACACACACACACATGTTCTTCTAGGCTCCAGAGGCACTTGCATTCACACACACACACACACACACACACACCTTTAAAAAAATATTTTAAATCTTTAAAAACGAAAGAGTGTAAAGTACAAAGTTCCATTCATGGCCCATCGGTGCAACAGCTTTACAGAAGAGCAGGAGGGAAGGGAATGACTGATTCCAAGTTCTGAAAGAAAACACTTGACAACGAAGAAAATTGTTTTTGACAAAGCTGTTATTCAAAAAATGAAGGAGAAAAATGAAGACCCTAAAGAAGCAAAATCAAGGAGTTAATCACCACTAGAGCAAGTTCCATCAGGCGCTTGGCCGAGTGCTAAGCCAGGAAGAAGGAAAAAAGGGGAGGAAGGAAGGAAGGGAAGGAGGGAGGGAGAGAGGGAGGGAGGGAAGGAAGGAAGGAAGGAAGGAAGGACCACCATGAGAATGCTGAAAGAATAAGCTCAGAGACAAGTAGGATAAAGTGCACTTTAACAATACATTAAACCAAAGCAAACAGAATAACATAGAAGACATAAATCAAAAAAATAAGCAAAATAACAGGAGTAAGTCTTTAGCTATTAATAATATAAATTAAATGTAAATAGACCCCTCAGGTTAAAAAAAAAAACACTGACCTCTTCATAGGAGAAAGAAAAGATGGTATCTTTTCCTGTGCACTGGCCATTTCATTTAACACGATGTCTTCCAGTTCTATCTATTGCTACAAAATGATAGAATTTCATTTTCCTGGTGGCTGAATAATATTCCATTGTGTATCTTCACTATATTGGGTCTGTATCTTGACTAATGTGAGCTGTGCACATTGGTGCATGGGTGTCTCTCTGGTATGGTAATTCTATTACTCCAGGTCATACACCCCAAAAGGAGTTATCCCTGGGAGCCCTTCTCAGATGCCAGCAACAATGCCACCCATTCTCATGCAGCTGAGACAGGGCATACTTTATTGCTGGATTAAAGAATCAAGTTCATTGTGTAAGTCTTTAAGAAAAAAAAAACAAAATGTCTTGGTACTGTATAAAAACAAAGTTTGCTGTGGGCATAATTCAGGGTCCATGTACAGCAAGACACTAATGTTCAACAGGTTGACCCACCAGACAATGATTCCCTGTTGGGTGCCCCCCCCCCTTGGCAAAGCTGTGGGTTATGGACTGTAATTGACGCGTTGTTCTCTGCTCGCAGCTTTCTCAAGAGCCCCTGCTGTTCCTCCCGGATAAGAAGAGCTGTCCTTTCCACAGTTCTTTGGTGGTGTGTTTTACACTTATTGGGCACATATATAGCTGTGGATGATTGGGAAGATGATTTTTGCTGTATAATTTTGATGAATAGAAAGAAGACTCGGGTATTTTACATCACTCAGACTGACATAGGATTCTCAGTCACAAAGACAACCTTTTACACGGACAGCTAACTCTTGACTCTGGAACAAATTTTACGCAGGTTAGTTGTCCCTGGGGACAAATATCTGGTTGCCCCTAGGGACAAACATATGAGGTCATCTTCCCAGATGTTATTTTGCTGATCGAAGGTCACAGCTTGAAGGAATTGGTAACCATAGCTTCACTTTCAGCACATACGCCTGCTCCTCAAGGTCCAGCCAATTGCTTAGTGTCTGGGGACCCTCATCAACTGAAACCTATGTGCTGGACCAGGCATTAGTCCCTGGCCAGTCAGTATGACAGCTCCAGCCTAAGAGAAACTACGGGATGTATCTTGTATTATGAGAATGAGTCAGGTCCTGAAAATGTAACTCATAATTTTCCAGCGTTTGGCTGGAAATGGAAGAACTGAGAGGCAGAGCTATGAGAAGGGACTGTAGAGACCTAATTAGGAAGCTGTAGAAAACTCCGTAACTGTGTGGGGACAGAGAGATTCACAGAGAGCATTTTTAAGATGAAGTAAAAGAGAAAAGTACCATCAGGAAAGTGTGTGCTTGGTCCTTTTTTCTTAGGTTAAGAGCGACCCTTAGGTAAGAATTTCCCTAACCCTCACCACTCTGAGGTTTTCTCTTACGCTGGAGCAGACCTGGGAGTTGACCTCCCGTGGGCTGCGTAACTTGATGCTATATGAAAATAAAACTTGCTGTGGGATTTGGAATAATGCTGTCAGCAGCTTAGTTTTCTGGTACCAGTATTTTCATAAGCTAAACATTCCAACACATGTCTAATGAAAAAGATATTTTGAGCTTTCTGATTAAACCAAAACATACAAATGGCTTTGAAAACATTAGTAGTCTGGCTATATGTCCCCAAATCTTCTTTTGTAACAGAAGAACTATATGTAAAGAGAGTGTGACTATCATTGTTATTACTATTATTATTATTATTATTATTAGCATTGTAGGGGTTTTAACTAAAATATCCTCTAGTTTGCTTAATTTCCAGGTTCATTTTTTAAAAGCACATCACAGGTTTTTGGGTCTTTAGTCTGATTGGACCTCCAGACTGAATCGCCACAAACTGAGGTAGTTTGGTCTTTTAATTATATGTCTGCTACTAAATATTAAAGTTACACCACTGAGGATAGTGTAAAAAATCCGAAAAGGCCTTATATGCTACGTACAATATCAAATAAATCAATTTCATTTAAAATTCTAAAAATGAAAGAAAAAATTGATGAATTTCTAGATATAGATAATTTACCAAAATTGAACCATGAGGACATAGAAAGCAGAAATAGAATAGCATAAGTAATGAGTCTGAGTAACCAAGAAGTCTCCCAACAAAGGACAGTCTGGCCTGAGCTGGCTCTGCAGAAAAATCTTACCAAATTCTTAAAGAAGTATCATTTATTTTCAAACTATTCTAATGAATCAAAATTCATTCTGCCAGGTCAGCATCACACCACACCAAAAGGAGACAAAGACACAATGAACCAAACTATAAACCAATGTCATTGATAAATATAGACAAAAACACTCAACAAAATATTAAAACATCAAAAAATCTTTCATGAACCATGATGGCTGCACCCTAGAGATAGATGTACAGATGGTTTACCATTTGCAAATCAATAACTGTAGTATAATCATCACAAATGAATTACAAAAATCATAAAAATAGAAGTAGGAGAAACATTGGATAAAATCCAGCATTGCTTCATGATTTAAAACAAATGATAGAAAGTTCATACCTAACATAATCAAGAGTGTATGACAAGCCACAGCCTGCATCATATTGGCAGAGAAGCTAAAAGCATTTCTTCTGATATTTAAAACAAGAGAAGGACCATGTTCTTGTTCAAGATAGTCCCGAAGAGTTTAGGATGAACGATAAGTCAATAACGAACACAGAAAACAATTGCACAGGGAGGAAGTCAAATGGTGCCGATTACCTGATTCTATACAGAGAAAACAGTATACTCCATTATGACCAGCAGAATCTCCACTCTAGAGTCTAAAACCAACATACAAAACTCAGCAGCATTTTAAAATAGCAAGAAGGAATTTGCCGAAAAGGAATCGCAAAAGCAACCCCGTTGACATCAGCAAAACAAAACAAAAAACAAATTTCAGTGTTTTCTACCAGGATTCGGGTGGAAAATCGTCGGTTTAGTCTGTTCCTGTTACAGATTCTCCGGACAGACAGACCGTCTGGGGTTGGACAACTACAACTATTACTCGGGTTGGAAGGTAGGGGGCACGTGTTCGTGCTGGCAAGCCTTTGTTTGTAAGAAGGTGGTCTCCATATGAGCCGCGGCCTATTCTGGAATCAAGGAAAAGTCTCAAACCCAGAGTAATTTTGGAATGCAGAATGGTTTGAGGGCAAGAGCAGAGAGGAAAAGCCGGTGAGAGGGATAAGAACAGGAGATGACGCAGTGAAGGAAAGGTCAGCAAGGTGATCAAGATGAATGCAAGAAGGCAATGCCTTGGGTGGGAGGAAAGAGGGTGGAGCTGGAACCATCTACCCAGGCGCTAAGAGCGCCCAAGGGATATAAGAACCCGCTTGAGCACTCGGAAAGCAGCAGAGCCTAGTCCCGCCAAGGCTGAGCCTTCCAGAAGCTGCCCAGACCATGATGTCCAGCAAGTTCTTGCTCCCGCTCCTGGGGTTCTGGCTGCTGCTAAACCAGTCTTGCAGGGCACGGGTCACGGAAGAGTGGTTGGACGAAGTCATTAAGGTGTGTGACCGTATATACGTCCGAACGGTAATCGAAATCTGTGGGAACTCAGTGGCATTGGCCCGGAAGGCACCAGCTCGGCGACAAAGGTCAATAACAGGTGAGCATCCTTGGAACTCTCCCCAGCTTTTCCGTGCTATGCTTCCCACCGGCTGCCCCCGTCGGAAAGACCCAGTCCTCTACAGCTTGTGATTCCCCAGCCTCAGGTTTGGTCTTTGTAACTTGCTTGGATTAAAGAATTTCAATGAGAACCCATCAGAGAGAGGTAGACATGCAAGCAGCTGCTAGCAGCTTCATGCTAGGGTAGCACTTGATCCTAGCAGGAGCCCAAATCTGGGCTGTGGATTATGCCTGGGAGAACTCCTGCACCCCGCTTAAAGCATGTCACCGAGCCAGCCTTGACCTGCAGCTTTTTGAATTAGGTCTTGCAGTTCAATCTAAAGGGTAGGGGAGTGCAAGAGAAACCCTAGAGAAAAGTGAAGGGGACCAGCAAGAAGGGAGGCTAGCCTTCAGACTGTCATGGCCGAACACTCACTGGCACTATATAAAACTTCAGTGATTAAAAAGCATGTACCTGAATGAATTCAGTTAGATTAAAATGTAATATGAGTCTAATATATACAAACTAAAAAGATGGATTTCAAAATAAGCTAAAAATTATTTTAAATAAAGAATTTCAAGGCACAAAAACCTGCAAATTAACTCTGACCCAAACTATAACTGGCCTTTGCTTACTAGTTCTAAGTGCATAGAAAGTTATCATCAGCTTTGCTTGGCCACCAAGAAAGCCCTATCTGGACAAAATTTTAGAGCAAGGAGGAACCAATAAGGTGAGTTAAAGTTCAAGAGTCTTACTTCAGAAAAGAGCTAAAACTTCTGAGATATATATATATATATATATATATATATATATATATATATATATATTATACACACACACACACACACACACACACACAATCACCCAGAATGTCACAATGGCGAGCTAGCAGGAAGCAGTGAGAAGGTAAAGTAGTGACAGTGTTATTGCTTTCCCTCTGCCAAATTCCAGCTGCTGAAGTATATTGTTGGCTCAGGGAACAACAGGACTCTCAGGAGGGAGCTTTGTCCCAGTGCACCCCTGTATAGGTGAAGGGTTTGGCTTTCTCTAAAGGGTAAAGTGTCAATGGCTACCCAGGCATCTCCCTTCCACACCTACTGTATCTTTTGGATTCTTGGGTTTTCTTATTTCTTATTGGTAAGCTGAAGAAGAAGAGCAGCAGGACTGAGTCATTGTTCTAAAATTTGATCGGAACCAACATTTCCAGTTTCTTTGTTTGCTAAAACTCTTAATTTGTGCATTTGGACTAGGTAAAAGTCAGGGGAGGGTTTGTGTTACTGTAAGGGATTTTTTGTTTGTTTGTTCATTTGTTGTGTTTGTGTGGGTTTTTTTTTTTTTGGCAGAAAATGTTTTCTTTTTAAACTCCTAACTGGCATTGCCACGGGAGCAGTCAGTGCATGCTGAACATGATAGGTATAAAGAAGTCAGCAGCCAGGTGGATGTAGCAGCATTTCCTACTGGGCAAACACCACACTTAACACTTTGGCACATGTGCCATAGGAGACACTAATCTCTTTGAGAAGCGCATGGTTTGGGATTGGTGTTCTTTTAAGCAAGCAGTTCTCAACCTGTGGTCGAGACCCCTTTGTGGGGGGGGCACATATCAAATAGCCTGCATATTAGATATTTGCATTACGATTTACAACAATAGAAAAAAATACAGTTATGAAGTAGCAATGAAAATACTTTTATGGTTGGGGTCACCACAAGATGGGGAAGTGTGTTAAAGTGTCACAGCGTTAAGGAGGTGGAGAACCATTGTTTTAAGCTGTTTCTCTCTTGAATATACAATACCATTGACTTGGAGCAAACATTATGGAGAAAGAAGATAAACGTAAGTGTTTAGAGACATCCATCCTCCTGGTCAGAGCTGAACTGTTGGAAACTCTGTCTTTTAAATGCTATCCTGAAGCAGTACCTTGACACTGTGGGACACTTAAGCTCTTAAAATTCTGAAAATATTTTTCAAGGATTCTTTTCAGGGCTCCAAAGCAATGAAGAAAATTACTCAGGCCAGAGAACATGTATATGAGTGGGGTTTTGTTTTGAGACGGTCTCTCTACCTAGTCCTGGCTGCCTGACACTCACTCTGTAGACCTGGTTGACCTTGAACTCACAGAGCCTCTGCTTCTGTCTCCCAAGTGCTGGGATTAAAGGTGTGTGCCACCACACTTGTCTAGCAAACGTGAACACTAATGTTTTCAATGGCCAACATGATTTCAGAAAAGTAAGAGTTCCATGTCAAAGAGTGAAAATTACGGTGATAAAGAGCAAGACAGGAGTGATGAAGAAAGATATTAGAAGGCCATGCATAAAGAGAACCCTTGGTAAGATCATAGCACTCTGACCTGTCCAGCAAGCAAAACCATTTAGATAGTCAATACTTGCTGATTCTGTTTCAGTGTTTAATTATATCCTGGAAAAAATAGTTTTGTTGCTATTCAAGTGTCTTTAGTTTCCAGAATGCTCTTTGACATGAATATTTTCTCCCCTACCCACTTTCTTTTAAACATCACAGAAACTGTACCATCCTTCAACAACAAAGATGAGGCACCTTCGGATACGATGCTTAAATACCTCCCAAACTGGCCACAGAAGCTCAAGGTGGCACTGCCTGAGGAGCATCTGTCCTTACCAGAGCTGCAACAGCCTGCACCTGCATTGAGCAATTCAGCTGGAAGCCTGGAAGGCTTGATGAAAGGTTTCCACAAGACACAAGTTGAAGCAGAAGCCAACGGTTCTCCAGAAATCAAAGGCTTGCGCTTGGACACTCTCGCAAGGAGAAAGAGGCAGTCCCGTCTATGGTTGAGTGAGCAGTGTTGCCACTTTGGTTGTCCCAGAAGAGCTATTGCTCAGTTCTGCTGATGTGAAGCCAGTTGTTTGCATCCTTGCCACCTGCTTGACGCCTCTTTCTGTTCCCTTCGATTATAAGCATCCGAGAAATTGTTATTTACATTTGAATTTTCCATCTGAGTGAAAGAAATGTTCTTTCCATTATTGTTATTCTATCAATAATACTTTTAATGCAAAACTCATTTTGCCTTTTTTAACAGTCTTATTGCTTTCGAATAATATTCATTTAAAATGGCTATGAAATCTTACCACTTAAGCATACATAAGAGCTCACCTCAATATAATGCCCTCTTAGGAAGTCTTGGGCACTCCTCTGGCCTCTGCAGGCAGCACAATACAAGCGGTACACAGACATACACGCAGGCAGGACACTCATATACATAAAATTAAAAGTTAATAAGATAAAATAAATGTAAATATTATTTAATTTAATATAATTTAATAAATCCATTCAGCTGTGCTAATGATAAATAGTAGTTAAATTACTTTTCACACAACAGATACTCATTAAGTCCAATTTAGGAGGCACTAGATAATAAATACGAATAAAAGGTGACTCTATTCACTAATAAGCTTTTAAGAAAAGATTTTAAACTCTAAGCAGCATAGTAATAAACTAAAATGATAACAGAAGTAGGGAAACAGTACAAAAGAACTCATAAATCTCATTTATTCACTTATTCATTAATTTACCAAATACTATAAACTTACTATCACTTAATTCATTATTTGTTGATAGCATTATTAGTTGTATCTACTACACTAAAGCGTTGTTAAGAACCTACTGTATTCTGGACACTGTTCAAGGCAAGGAAGGTATCACAGTAAACAAATCAGATGAAGATTCTAACTGCCTGGAGAACACATGTCGGTTTATAAGGGGCGGCATGGGAAAATACAAAGCAAGACAATAGGGTTGTCCCTCCTCTACTTCCTGCCTGGTCATCCCACCTATACTTCCTGCCTGGCTTTCGTCCAATCAGCGTTTATTAAAAATAATACAAGTGATAGAATAAAAGCTCAAACACGGCAGGAACCTGGAGGCAGGAGCTGATACAGAGGCCATGGAGGAGTGCTGCTTACTGGCTTGCTCCTCATGACTTGATCAGCCTGCTTTCTTAGAACCCATGACTACAAGCTCAGAAGCAGCACTACTCACAGTGGGCTGGGCTCTCCCCCATCAATCACTAATTAAGAAAGTGCCCAACAGGCTTGCCCACAGCCCAATCGTATGGAGGTATTTCCTCAACTGAAGGTCTCTCTAGTTTGTGTTGCGTCAACATAAAACTAGCCAGAACTGGTATAGAAAGCACAGATATCACGTAGATCAGATTGTCTGGCACACACAGTTTGAGTCTTTCCGTCTCCATCTATATATGCTGGGATGTTCTTCTCTCACGGCGTTTCCCTGAAAGAGTTCTGACTAGAACATGTGGCTTAGTACAGTTGGGATATTGGTTGTTTTTCAAGGAAAGTGCTGAGATTGTCCTAATCTATATTAATATCATCTTTAATAACTCCACATTTCATTTAAAATGATAAAGAAGGCAGTTATTAATGCAGAGACTCACAATGGGCCAAAGTATGGAGACTAAGTGACTACTGAGTGGTTAGCCCTAAACTGGACATCTATAGCACCCCATGAAGGCCCATGAAATGTTGGGGAGGAATGAAGTGGTAATACATGTAAAGTGTTAGAGAATGGAGAAGTGGGCTCTGAAATGCTGTCTTCTGGACATAGGCTGCACAAAATTGGGCCCTCAGCATCCCATCATGGATCAGGAAATGGGTAGGGTACTTATGAGATCTTACCCCTCCCTGAGAGGGGCCAGTTTCTTCTGTGGTGTAGTTGATGGTAAGTTGCCCATGCTACAGGAAGTAACTTAACCCACGCTCATTCAAGCCACTCAGTGAGTCAAAAGAAAAGACTGATTCAACATATGCAAATAAATATGTGTAATTCAACACATAAATGGCCTTAAGGAACAGAAACCACAAGATCATCTCAGTTGACATTAAAAAATAAAACCAGGGCTTCTGCAAAGTTCAGCATCCCTTTCATTGTTGGAAAATGCCACTAGTTTTGTTCCCGGCTACCCAGAACCGAAATAATCACACAGAAACCATATTAATTAAATCACTGCGTGGTCCATTAGCTCTAGCTTCTTATTGGCTAACTCTTACATATTAATTCAACCCATTTCTAATTAACCTGTGTATTGCCACAAGGCTGTGGCTTACCAGGAAAAGTTCTGGTGTCTGTCTCCAGCGGGGCAACATGGCTTCTCCCTGACTCCACCTCCTTTCTCCCAGCATTTGGTTTAGTTTTGCCTACTATAGGCCCAAAGCAGTTCCTTTATTAACCAATGGTATTCATAGCATACAGAGGGAAATCCCACATCATTTCATGATAAAAGTCCTGCAGATACTAGGAATAAAATGAACATGTCTCAACCTAACACATCTATAGGCAATATTATGCTAAATGAGGAAAAAACTGAGAGTATTTACTCAAAAATATGAAACACAACAAGGTCATTCTCTATTGACTTGACTGTAATGCTTAAATTCTTAGGAGCAAAAAGAAAAAGAAATACAAGAGAAACACATATAAAAGCATGAAGTCAAAGTATCCCTACTTGTTGCTGGCATCACCTTATACCTAAGAGATACTACAGACTGTCTAATTTCTCCATCAATTTCTAAAGATAGTTTTGTTAGACACAGCAATTTTGGTCAGCAGTTATTTAATTTCAGTTCTTGAAATGTATCCTTCCATGCTTCCCTTCTTAAGATTCTTGAAATGTATCCTTCCATGCTTCCCTTCCTAAAATTCTTGAAATGTATCCTTCCATGCTTCCCTTCTTAAGATTCTTGCTTACAAGAGAGCTGAAGTCACTGTTTCTGTCTTTGTTGGTGAGCTGGTCTTTTTGCTAAGATTCTTGCTTATAAGAGAGCTGATGTTACTGTTTCTACCTTGGTTGATGAGGGGGTAGTTTTGATTCATGCTTTTAATATTGTTTTTCACTTCCTGTTTTTGATACCTTGACTATACTATGTCACGGAGGGGTTCTTTTCTAGTTCTGTGTACTTGGGTTCAAAATGCCTCTTGTGCTTGGATGTCTTTTTCTCTAGATTTGGGGAATTAATGCTACAGTTATGTTGACTATATTCTCCGAGCCTCTAGTGTTTCTCTGCGACCCTTCTTCCATTCTTTGGATTCTGTGGTTTGGTGTTTGATTGTGTCCCTGAGTTGTTGGATGCTGTGGTCATGCTTTTTTTTTTTATCTCCTTTGTGTTTGAATGTTACTACATCTCATCAACCTTAACTACCTTCTCTCATTTTCTTCCTTCTGCCTGGTTGACTTTATTAGTCAAATTTTTCTCCTTTTTTTGTTTGTTTTGTTTTGATATTTGACTCATTAAGGTTTTCATTTCCAATATTTCTTTTTTCTTTCAAAATTTCAATTCTTTGCTGAATTTTCTTCAATTTTGCTGTCTTTTTAATTCATATTGATGATGTTCGCCTCTGTGTTGCTGATTTTCCTTTCTAGATTCTGGATTGACGTCATCTACTTGTTCATAGTCTCTTTCAGACCACTGGTCATTTTTATCAGAAACATTTGAAGTTCTTCACCTGGCGTTTGACTTATTTCAGGATAGGTCTTTGGGTTCAGAAGTTGAGTGTGGGAGACTTACAATGCCTTGCTTTTCCATGTTTCTTCCATTTCTATGTTGCAATCTGTACATCTATTTGTCTGATACCACCTCTGCATTTAGTGGTCAATATTCCTATCGAGCAGCCTACTCTTGAGGGCTCAATTCCAGCACCACTTGGCAAGAAAAAACTAAATGCTGTATCAGCAATGACACCAAACCTTATGAGATATGCAAATATATTTGTATAATATACTAATATATCACCGATGATCATAAAACTGAAAAACTAATATAGAATGTATTATGAATACATTAAACATCTTTACATTATTATGAAGTAAAAATTATTTAGGGTAAGTGTAAAAATACTAAACCGATGCAATTGTAAATCATGTTAAATAAAGTATGTTTGACTCAGATAGACAAATACTTTACATATTTAGAATAATGTTCTAGAATAGTTAATAGCACAGGATACTAATAAATAAGCCTGAGATTAATTTTATAATATTAGAACTTATTCACTCAAAATTAGTCATTTAAATAATAAAGTTTTCAGCTAAAGAAATCTATTTAGAGCCAGGCGGTGGTGGCGCATGCCTTTAATCCCAGCACTCCGGAGGCAGAGGCAGGCGGATCTCTGTGAGTTCGAGGCCAGCCTGGTCTACAAGAGCTAGCTCCATAACAGGCTCCAAAGCTCCGAAGCTAAAGAGAAATCCTGTCTTGAAAAACCAAAAAAAAAAAAAAAAAAAAAAGAAAAGAAAAAAAAGAAAAAGAAAAGAAAAAAGAAAAGAAAGAAATCATCTATTAATCTGTTTAGCTCTTATACTGGTCATGAACGTATTCCTGGGCTGTGAGATACCCTAGCAGGTTAAAGCACTTTTGCCACCACGCCTGAGAAAGTGACATCAATTCCTGAAACCCACATGGTGCATGGAGAGAACTAGTTCCAACCGCCGTGCACACACATTGTGGCACCCCCCCCCCCAAACACAGTAAATAAGTATAATAAAACAATAAAAAAGATTTGTTGTAAGTAGAATGTGTTCATACAAATAAACCAAGGCAAATTTTTACCAGGAGCAGAATACTAAATGATGTTCTCACTTACACGTGGACTCTAGATTTAAAACTACGTATCTGTGCGTTTATATATGTATATGCTGAAATATGTGTGTTTGTGGGTCATGCAACTACAAAGGGGACCCAAGAGGGATGAGTGCTTAAGGAAGCTAGGAGGAAATCAAGTAATAAGATCCATGTAACAAAAGAGCGAAAGGGGGAATTACTGCAGAAAGAAACCGAACCCGTGGGAGGTATGGCCGAGTACAATAAGGGCACGGAATAAACGA